AGAGACGGATACACGGCGACGTTCAGCGGGTGAGAGATTCATGTACGAATCAAACAAGGTTCGCTTCTGTCGCCATTGTTCGCTCCTCATTCGTTGTTGATTGAATTCACTTTCAACGACTTTATCGAAATAACGATTCAACATCTTGTCCATCATGTTTCTCGACTTCACTTTGTGTGGCTTGTATCGAATGATTGGAATTGTAGCAACGTATTCATCCATTTACTATGGGAGGAACAATGTGGGGCGACTTTGCCGTCTCCCCTACTTTACTTTGGTGTAACAAGATATCGTGAATGAGATGTACACATTCGAATTCAATGAGATCGGACGGTCATTCGCGTCCGTCAGTACCCAGTCAATGTAGTCCAGGTTCGATTGTTCAATCACATCGATCGATAGGTTGTCCCAGGTGATCATGTTGTTCAGTCCCATCGATACATGAATCAGGTTATCGATCAACGGACTCTTCAGACCGAATGTTTGAGCATTGATACTACTGTAGACTCGGATCACACTCATGCCATTCGTGATGTCGTAGGGTTCACTCGCTACCATACCTGCCTCAACGATACCTTCCAACTTGAGGATACTCGTGTAATCAGGTGCGCCACTAAGGTCAACAGCGGTCGCCACGTCACTGTTCAAGTATGCTCGGTTGACATCGTCTACCTGGATGGAATCGGCTATCGCACGGCATAACTCGGTAATCGAGTAGTAGCCAGGACCGACGTTGTACACCATTTCAAACCCTGACAACATTTGAACCTTCACGACATTCATTGCACGAATGTTCCAGAGAGACGTTGTATCGATCTTGCATGTAATCGAAGTGATCTTGTATACAAGGTCACGAGGCATGATCACTGTGTTGAACGTTTCATGGTATCGTTCGTTGTTCTTCGGAATTACTGTATTGTGGTTAATCACACTTACCGGTAGTGCACGATTATGACTCATTTATTGTGTAGAAGTGAATGCACACTGTAATCGGCATTGGCAGGGCAATCGTTGCACCGGTCTTATCGGTCAACGAGAATGACCATTTGCGACTTTTGGGTACCACGACGTTCATGTGTGCATTCTCCGTAAATTCCTCGTTCAATACAACCAACGGAGACTGTCGTCGTTCTTGCATGTTGTTCACTCGATCAAGGACAAGGCAGGTGCCAGGCGATTCTCCCTTCATAGTCACTCTGTCGATTACCATGTCGCTTTTGATGAGATTGTTACTTGTAAATTCATGTTCGTACGTTCGAGCAATGTTGAACACTAGATTCATTTATTATTTCCTCCTGAAACGGTGAATCCGATTATCAGGTACACGTTCCCAATGAACGATAGCGGGTCACCATTTTCGTCCTTCAACTCGTACACGATGCGATCAAGCAATTCAGAACATGGTACCAACATGCGATTCTTGTAGAAGTAGTTCTTGTACAAGCTGTCCATCGGGACATTCGCAAGCAGTGGTATCGTCTTGCTTTTCACGATGTTGCAATACAGCTGTATGTTCGATAGACCGTTCGTGATATCGACAGGATACTCGCCCACCATCGGACCATAGTTGGCATAGTACACACCATCGTCGAAAGGGATACGCCATGTATGCGATTGCGATCCTGAAGCGGGAACGATGGTTCCCAGGTTACCACTCAACGAGAACACGTAGTCTGCGTGAATGTAGTACCCATCTGTCTCAACTTTCCATCGTATGTTCAGTGCAGCCCGAGTCAAAACACTGGTTCATGTGCCATATCATGTCAGCCTGTGTCAACCGTGATGGTATGGTCCACGTGAATGTCTGAACGTCATCTGTGTACGTGATATCAGTCTCGGGGGAAGCACTGCTTCCCTCTTCGTCCAGTGTCATCATTCCGTACGGGAAGCGAATCGTCGTGTTAGCCGTGTACGACTCAGATTGTTCCCAGTCAACGAAGGTAGCCAATGATGGAACAACAACTTCATCATTCCTCACATAGTGGGGCAGCGAAGCTGCCCCGGGGAAGCTTTGCTTCCCCACATACGTAACACGTGTCGGTTGTATGAATTCGATCGACACAGCACGATCGGAATACGTACTACCTTTGATCATATTCGTCACATTCAGTCCATCGATGTTTGCCATCGCAAACTCGTAAGGTGATGTCAACTCGGGCATTCTGATGTAGTAATTGCGATAAAACTCGAAATAACAAGACAAATACACACCACCTGGTTCAGCGTATGGTCCGGGTATAATCTTGAAACATGGATTATCACAAAACAATATGAATCGTGGTTCTGTACCATTTCGACATCCCATTCGTACTCGACCACCATTATCTGCAATGACATATACCAAGTACCTTCCGAGAGACGCATCTACAAATATCTTATTGATCACATTAGCGATCATATTCACGATATCAATAGCGCTATAATGACCTCGTTGGATTGTGAGAGGTCTTTCGCCATATCCACGTATTCCAAGTATAAAATTCGTCGTATCGATAAACACTTTCGTGTGATATATACTATCCTTGGAATACCAAGGTCCGATCGAAGAACCATTCGATGACACCAAGTCACCTGTATTTTCCGATGTGATATGCAATTCCAATTCTGGTGCATAGTCCTTCGCAGTCCATGACATGCTTTCTCTATTGTCATTCACCGTCCACGCAATCGCATTCTGGTGAGATGGAGGTAGTTCCATAGCACTCGCATATCGAGCATTGAGCTCATTAAAACATGTGGTTGTAAGAGTATTCATCTTGATCGGGGTAGACGTATCGTCCGTTATGTAGAATTCACCACTATCGAGTACTGAGCCATCAGCTAAACGCATCGTGTATGTCGCGAGAGGCTTTAGCAGGAACCGATTATCATTCGTACGCATTTTCCAGTCATACGCAATGAAGGTGTTTGATCCTATGTACGCATGACCACCAATACCTTGATCATTCGTCATATCAGGTGGTGAATCGCTTTCAGGGTTGAACGAAGCTTCCACTGGTCGTTCGATGCACAGATTGCGTACCGTTGATGTCAATTTGAACCATGGAGTCCAACCAAAACCATTGATCGTCGTGTCAACGCTGGATCGATTGAAATACCATCCGTCTGCTTGGACATTGAAGCGAACATGATCATCCTCGATCGTCATGGATGTGAGTGGAAGCACTTTCACCATCTCAGCACCCACAGCCTCGATGAACTCGGAGAACGTGTAGTAACCGACAGGTAATGTCAACATGTGCGATTCCCTGCTGTCAGTAACAACCACGTGATTACACGAGGAAGACAGGTAGTAGCGCTTCGGGTTATCCACTCCTTTCACCAAGATGTCCGATTCGAAACCAAGGATCGACCTGATCTCTGGTGCATTCGTGAAATCAATCATGTAGAAGTGATCTACCGTGATGTGGAACGCATTCTCACCGCTATACACCAATTCGAACAGGGCATCACTTGCATTCAGCTTTGCAATGATCGTTTCGATGTCGTATGCACCGCGTGGTATCGCGATCTCTTGAATCGTACTGCCAGCATTGATTAGCACCATTTGATCAGTCGGCACGTTGTGCAACACGAAGTCCGTATACAACGACACAGACGAGATGTAGCACTGGTCGAACGAGAGAGGATTGTCCAGCTTCACTTCCTTCTTGGTGGTATTACCGAACACTTCGATCATACTGAACTGGTTTGCAGAGACAATCGTTGGGGGTGACATCGTCACCCCCGGGGGAAGCGAAGCTTCCCCCATCGATGAAGGCACTTCCTCCATCACGTCCTCAATCGTCAACTGGAGTTCGAATTCGCCGTTCAATCGCATCATCTTGCCATCCATATCGCGGAACACGAACATCAATTGATCAAACCGAGTGATCATTGGTATACGCACGTCTTCCACACTTCGCACGTAGTCAGCCGTTGGATCGTCAATGATCATCGTGGTGAGCAGGTTGTTGTTCTGGTTGGCAATCTTCAGGTCCGATGATCGCACGATCGTCGAGTAGACCTGAATCACTTGGCGATTTCGCGTGATATCAATCACGTTCGATCCACTGAACGAAGCGGGTAGAATGACCGTTCGTCCATCGAAGCCGAGGATCTCACGAATGTCAGGTGCATCTGTGAAATCAATGGTGTGTGGGGACTGAATCCAGATACAGCCGAACGACGAGGCATTCGTCGATATGGAGAACAGCGTGTCAGTCATGGTATTGAGCAAGGCAATGATCTCACTGATCGTGTAATAACCAGCAGGGATTGTCACAGTCTCGTTATTGCTGTTAGTAATCACATTCGTCGTGTCCACGTTGTTGAACATCGAACCATTAGGATGAAACAACACAGTCATGGAAGTGATATAGGGATTCTTGTACTTGTACGGATTAACCCATGTAAATGAGCCGTTGGTAGGTGAGCCTTGAATAAGCATGGAGTAGTGCATGGTCTTTCTCTCTTTACCTTAGTCAACAAGACAATGGGGAGGAATCGAAGATTCCTCCCGGGGCAACGTACGTTGCCCCATCACACCCATGGATACCATGGCCTACAATGGAAGTCAGGTTAACATTGCAGAAATTTGCCGAAATTGGCAGCCATGGGTTTCCGCGCGTTTCTTGTTATGGACATCGAGGTGAGCAGGTAGACAATGGCAGAAAATGGTGGAAATGGCAGTCATGGGTTTCCGCGCGTTTCTTGTTATGGACATCGAGGTGAGCAGGTAGACAATGGCAGAAAATGGCCGAAAATGGTCGAAAAATGGTCGAAAAAAGTTCACCGCGGTTATTTGGTAGAAAATGGATTTTCGCGCATCTATCGCCTTTTCCCTACTACTACCCTAAAGGCAGAACGCATTCTACAAAATGAATTTCAGATAACCTTTGTAATTACGGAGATAGATCCGTAAAAATGTGATAACCACGGCAGAATATAAGTCTATTCTGCGTGCTGCGACCTGCGTCATCAATCTAAGTAGAAATAATACCATAAAAAATTTGTAAGCTATGAAATTTGTGAGTATCGCCTTACTTGTTTTGGCTCTTGCTGCTGCTGATAACTGGGCCGTGCTTGTTGCCGGTTCTGATGGTTTCTGGAACTACAGACACCAGGCTGATGTTGCCCACGCGTATCAGATCATGAGACGCGGAGGAATTCCTGCTGATCACATTGTGACGATGATGTACAACGATGTTGCTTCTTCTTCTTTCAATCCTTTCCCTGGTGAGCTTTACAACCACCCTGGTGACGAATCTCCTGATGTGTACAAGGGAGTGGTCGTTGATTACGAGGGAGAGGATGTGACCCCTGAGAACTTCATGAAGGTGCTGCTTGGAGACGAGTCCACTGGAAAGAAGGTCCTGAAGACCAACGAGAACGATAACATTTTCATGTTCTTCTCTGACCACGGTGGCCCGAACGTGCTTTGCTTCCCTAACGGAGATCTGTCTAAGGATGACTTCCAGGCTACTCTGAAGAAGATGCACGAGCAGAAGAAGTACAAGCACTTCGTGCTGTACATTGAGGCTTGCTACTCTGGTTCCATGGGTGTTGGTTTCCCTGAAGATTTGGGCATCAGCATTGTCACCGCTGCCAACGACTCTGAGTCCAGCTGGGGCTGGTACTGTGGAGAAGAGGCCGTTGTGAAGGGAAAGGACATTGGTAGCTGCCTTGGTGATGAGTTCTCCGTGTTCTGGATGGAGGATACTGACAAGGGCGAGCAGAGAACCGAGACTCTGAACGAGCAGTGGAAGCGCATTCACGACGGTGTGACCAAGAGCCACGCTTCTCGCTACGGAGATGTCTCCTTCGAGAGCGATCTGATTGGTGAGTATGTGGGCTACCCCGAGGAGAAGTTCAACTACGACCACCAGAGCTCTGTTGCCTGGGATTCTCGTGATGCCAAGTTCCTCTTCCTTCTGTACAAGTATCAGCACACTACTGGAAGCGAGAAGGCGAAGTGGGAGAAGCTCTATCTTGAGGAGATGAGCCTTCGTCAGCAGATTGATCGCTACATCAACTCGTTTGCTAAGGAGAGCAAGCTCTACTCTGCTAGAGTTAGCGGTGAGATCAATATGGAGTGCTACATGGCTGGTATTGAGCAGATGGTGGCTATCTTCGGTCACAATGATTACCAGTACAAGTACTACAACGTGCTGGCTAACATGTGCGTTGAGAACCCTCGTGCTTTCCATCATTAAAAAGATATGAGCATTGAGTGTATATGTTTGTTATAAAACAATATTTCACTTCATTTCTTTTTTAAGTTACGAGATAATATGGAGTTCTAATTTGTTACTCTTTACTATATACTATAGGGCTAGTTTACGAAGGTCGATATCCAAGAATACACTTGAGGACGATGTTCTTCGAACAAGCACCTTGAGACAAAGCGACATTGAAAAGGAGGTATTCTCGCCTGTGGATAAAGCAGACGATGGTTGAAACAGCTTTACCTACTAAATTATAGAAGATGCGACTAAATTGCGCACCACGATTAACCAGAGTGATACAGACAATATGAGCATATTGAGAGCGTCGAAAGTGCTCGCAAATGTCAACTTGGCAGATAGTCAGGCCGTAATTGTTACGGAAAAGGAGCCTGAAACAAATGTGTCCGATGTAGAGCTTTTGGCCAGGGAATATTCTCCGTTTGTTGTTGATTGCTTGTTTGAATGTAGAGTCTATCTTATAAAGTGTCTTCCTCCTTACGAGACTATAAAGCGGACGGACGACTCCATGTTACTTCCTCCACTTGAACGTGGTTCAAAGCCTTTTACACTTGTGTTAGATCTTGATGAAACCCTCGTCCATTGTTCATTGGAATATATGGAGAATTGTCACTATTGTTATCATGTAGCTGTTGCTGGAATCAACGTTAGTTCCTAGATTATTGTAGATGGAGTGAAACATGCTGTGTTTGCTCGTGTCCGTCCATACGCAAACCAGTTTCTAGAGTATTGCTCCCGGTTTTGTGAAATCGTGGTCTTCACAGCATCGAAACAGGAGTATGCGGATCGTATGCTGGACTTTTTGGATCCGGAGAAGAAATTCATCAAGCATCGCCTGTTCCGCGAAAGTTGTACCAAAATAGGGAAGGTCTACGTGAAAGATTTAAATCGTTTGGGTCGAGATTTGGTAGAAAGGAGGGGGGATTTGTTGATTTTTAGAGACGAACTGTGATTATCGATAACTCGATCGTGTCCTTTGGATATCATTTAGATAATGGAATTCCGATTTGCTCATGGTTTGACAACTGGAAGGATCAAGAAGTGGGGTTTCTAGTAGGAATCGAGTGTAGCTATACAACGCGGCTCGCATCATGTACTCTTTACAAGCAGTGCAAGACGTTCGTCCCTATATTACTAATATGTTTAGACTCCGTGAAACCATCGATTGCTTCATTTGTGAATGAATAAGTGAATGAATGAATGAATAAATGAATAAGTGAATGAATAAATGAATGAATAAAACCTATACACCACACCCTCTTTGTTCCAACAAACAACTCACTCGTTGTGCATAAGTAAAACAGTTTATAGACGACCTCCCGATCCAGCCATGGGAGCCACAGTCTCCTCCACCTTCACGCCCTCTTCCTCCTTCTTCACGACATCGGCGTGCTGCTCCATCAGCTTCACCGTATCGATCTTGGGCGACTTGATCATCTTCACCTTGCGGATCAGCGTGTTCTCCAGAGGATAGATCTTGTTGCACTCCTTCTGAATGCGAGCACCGATCGACTCCATGTACAGCTTCGGAACCAGCGTCGCAAGATCGCACTTCGACACCTCGTCCGTGATGATCTCCACCATCTTCGCACGAATGCGGTGGATCTGAGAGGCCTGCGCGTAGCAAGTCTTCTTGTTCTGGTTGTCCTGCTTGCGGGTGAACGCGATGCAGAACAGACGCAGCTTGTAACCGTCGGTGGTAGACACCTCCACGTTGCACTCGATCAGAGTCTTCCACTTCTTGATCAGAGAACCCAGCTTGTCGCGGGTGATGTCCATTCCGTAGAAGAGGGTGATGCACTTATCTCCCTGCACGTCCTCCACTCGCAGCTTGATCTTGCGGTAACCCTGCTCCTCGTTCTTGCTCAGATCACCCAGATTGGCCTCGAAAATACGTCCCTTCAGACCCTCCGAAGCGATTTTCAATCCCGAAGTACGAGACACCAGCGTCTTGCAAACATCACGCACCAGGAACTGGTTCGGGGCACGCACGTCGTACCACTCCTTCTTAGCCATGGTATCAATCACCTTCTTTCCCTTTCCTTTCTTACTGACTTTCTTCTGAGACTTGCCTAGAAATCGGTTAGTCACTCACTTTCACTATAATGAATTATTCAATGAATAGTATCGAGTCCTGTTCAACACAATACCATACCGATAGCCATGATATGCACAACAAATATGTATATAAGTTACCAGAAACAATTTGGATACAGAACACATAAAAGACCCCTAAATACTACTATTACTTTCTAGTTCTTTTCCTATATTGGGACACTATATGTTTTATTAGTTTGCTCAATCGTGGTATTGAGGATCGGTTCAATATTGCTAGAATAGAATAAGCATTCACTAGTGGTGATATGAATTGAAGTATTCTGATTTTGTAGAGATTACTCCGTTATCAGATTAAAGTGTTTTGAATCGATAGCGTTAGCCACTCGTTTTTTTCTTATCACAGTTGATAGCCAGTAGTATTGCCATTAATGAATTGTGTGAGTTGATTGTATTTATTAACCTCTAGTTCCATATAAATACGTTTTAGCGCCCATGGTATACGGTAAATCGATATTTTTACTGAGTAGGTAGATCACTGTGACCTTGCGTTCCGATTACTTGTTCGTAGATATGGGTGCGATCTTTGTTTTACCCAAATGTTTCATTCTAGCATTCTATCTTCAAAGAGAGAATACTTCCAAACCCATTTTGCAACTTGCAAAGAAGACACACCTTTGGTTGTTCAGGTAACTATTCTTTTACTAAAAATAAATTGATAACATCTATAGTTGTGTGGGAACCATCCCAAAGAACTTGTGGAAGCAAGTCGTTTAGCTTTGCCCTACTGCAAGAATATCGATTTAAATCTTGGTTGTCCTCAGGGAATCGCTCGAAAGGGTCAGTACGGTGCTTTTCTTTTGTCAAATTATGATCAAATCGAAAAGATTGTGTGTGAATTTCGAATGGAGAAGATTCCCTATTCTGTAAAGATTCGCCTTCTTCCAGACATTTCATCCACTCTTCGTCTATGTGAACTGCTTCAAAGAGAGGGAGTATCGTTTATCACAGTCCATGGCCGACTCAAAGAAGAAAAGCGTGAGTTTACAGGTCCATGTAATTGGGATGCGATTCGCCAGATTGTATCCAATAGCAGTGTTCCCATTATTGCAAATGGCGGTATTGACTGCTTGGAAAGCGCTCAACGATGTATCCAAGAGACAGGCGTTTCTGCAGTAATGAGTGGAGAGGCTCTGCTAGAGAATCCCACGTTGTTTTCTCCTAACCCAAAAGAGCTCACAGTGCGAGAAGTCTGTGAGGAATACTTGGATTTGGAGGAACAGTACCCTTCCTTGCAAAAAGAAATCCGGAAGCACTTGTTTAAACTACTACATCGCGGACTTTCAGTCGATGTAGAATCGCGAAGCCAGCTCGCCAATCTCCGACTCATCACAAAGCAAGACAAGGATCGTGCCCGTGAACTAATCGCCCATGTCGAGAGTGTAATGAAAGAGAAAGAAGGAGAATGGCTCATCCAAAACGCTACGCTTCGAAGTGATTCTTGGTATCGACGTCATCGTCGTTCATCATCATCATCATCATCATCATCATCATCTTCTTCTTCTTCTTCTTCTTCTTCTTCCACTTTTTGTAACAAACACAAAAGCCAGCATTGCAATAATACTGCGTGCCGTTTGTCCAGTGCATATCCACCAACCATTCACGCTTCAAATTCTCTCCAGCGATATACGTATCGAACGAAAACGGATTCTCTTGGATTCGCAGCACACGCGCTCCTTTTCGAATATGACTCGGGATTCCGTAACCTCCATACCCCGATTTTCTCCCATACGCCATATACAATCCGCGATAATCCACCGAGAAATCGTTTGGATGGTCATGCCCCACAAACAACGCCACCACATTCCCTCTTCCATATCTCTCTCCCATCACCCTTACTTTTCAAGAAACGCATCGACGATTCCCGTATTGACTCCCGAGCAGCTCGTCACCTGCACTTTATGTCCCGTCGTGTTGTAATTCTACGCCTCACCTCGCTCATTTCACTCTTTACGTTCCATCCGTCCATGAATTCCTGCGGAGGGATGTGGAAAAAAGCCATCGCTGGAACGCGGCCTCCCTGCTCGACTTCCAGTTCATCGGATCGCCGCTTGTACCACTCCACTACGTCTCGTTCTATGCAGCCGAACATGTCCATGCGCTCGCCGTTGCATCCACGGTTGCCAGAGTCGAAGAACCAGAGGTTCATTGCCACTTTTGAGGCGTTTGTTGAGCTGAATACTGGAATTACATAGTTCGTGGAGTTGTGCGGACCTTCCGGACCTAACTCGGTGAGGCTGAGGGGGTTCGTCTGGTCCAAACGGACAATCTGCTCGCGACTCAGGTCTGCCTATCGATCGAAACAATTTAAATCAACTCACCTCCACATCGTGGTTTCCCAGAGTGTATGCGTAAGGAATCTTATTCTCGGTAACAACCTTTGTAAACACCTTCCATTGCCGCTCGAACCAGCCTTGTGTTCCATCCCAATTGTACCCAGTCACCATATCTCCAGTAAATGCCACAAAGTCAGGGCGCTCCATTCCAATAACAGCACGAAGACAATACTGAGTCAAGAGTGTGTCTCTCAAATCATCATCAAAGTGAGAATCGGTAATCTATTCCCTTATTTCGATCTCATACCATTACTTGCATAATCGTAAACTCCCCATTCTGATTGAAGCGAAGAATTGGGCGAGATTGCTTAATAGGCTGAGAAACAGCGAATGCGAAACAGACAATAAATAATAGTACATCGAAAAGTAAAAAACTCATAATGAGATAAGTTGTTGAAGGTTTTTCTTTGAGACGTGGGTGCTCTAGTAGCTGAATATCCATCTCCCTCATGACTTCAATTCGGTAGAAGATTCACAATAATGAGATAAATATGTAAATACTATTGGAATTCCATAAATGAAGTGATTCCTTTTTCTCAATGAGCACCGGTTTGACACGTTGTTTATCACAGACAATCAACTTGATGACGAGAAATAAAGCAGTATTCATTGTGGGAACGACAGGTGGAAGAGAGTGGACCGAAGTGAAGATTAGGCGTTGGAAAAACAAAGCTATCGATCCAATTAGCGCATCGGTTTAATGGAGAAATCATCAACGCTGATGCAATGCAAATGTATCGAGGATTAAATGTTGCCACTGCAAAAGTGATTCTACGATTGATGCTTCATACATAGGCAACCGAGGAAGAGAGAGAAGGCGTTCCTCACCATTTACTGGATTTCGTGGATCCTCGAAAAGAGATCTCGATTCACGAATTTAATAAACTCGCAATGGATAAGATATCCTTTCTTGTTTGATTTGTACACTTGACAGCACATTTCGGAGCTTAATGCAAGTGGAAAATTACCTATTGTTGTCGGTGGAACGCATTACTATATTCAATCTTTGATTTGGAATTCCTTGTTAGATGTGAATGTAAACTATTCTGAAGAGGACCACGACAATCTCGAGGCTCTTTCAACGGAGGAACTCTACAAGAAGTTGCTCGAAGTGGACCCTGATCAACCCCACCATCCAAATCAACGTAAACGGATCCTTTCGGATCTCCGTCTCTATCAGGAGACTGGGGTTGCCCCCTCCGTGTTACGAAAGCAGCAAAACGCGAAGCGTGACAACGAAGAGCAGCTTGACAACGTGGTGATTTGGCTCTCTTGCAATGAAAAAACGTTGAATGATCGTCTCGATCACCGCGTCGATAAAATGGTGGAAGCCGGCCTTCTAGAAGAAAACCTCAATTTTATAAAGCAGTTTTTGAACGAAAGCAACCCAGACCGGGGCGTATGGCAAGCGATCGGCCTGAAAGAATTCATGCCGCTGTGCTGGGACGCCGAACACCACTTCAATGGCCGTTTGGAACTCAGTCAGCACGACGAGGACGTGAAGAACGCGCTGGACCGCGTGAAGAAAGACACACAGCAGTACGCAAAGAGGTATCGATCGAAGTCGCTTCGAACGTAGACAAATCACTTGGATTCGAAATCGGCTGCTGAGTCGAGTCAAACATTTGATTCAAGTGGACACGAGCCAGCTGGATCGATGGGAGGATGTTGTGCAGAGACCCGTCGAGAACGTCGTGGAACACTTGCTGGATGGAACTCTGCCCGATGTGAAGGTGAACCATGCGTTTTGGGAGCAGCAATCTGCATCGTTGGAGGCGGAGGAGGGTTGAAGAGTAGACGAAACAAAAAGTTCGAGTGCGATGTGTGTGGAAAAGTGATCATCGGAGAAGAACAGTGGGACCAACATCTGAAGGGGAGAGTCCACAAGAGGCACGTCGAGGGGCTGAAGCGAAAGAAGCAGGCAGAGAAGTATTTTGAGGAGAAAAGAAGGAAAGAAAGTGAAAAATAGTCTTAATTTGTTTAGTTTGTTGTATATTTCTTTATTTTCAAATGGACTATATAAAAGATAAAGTGAAGAATCTTGTAGGAGGAGTGTGAAATGGTTGAAAACTAGAAAGAACGGATATCCGAGATGTATACACAAATTGGGGCAAAAGCAGAGGAGTTTGACCTATTGCTGAGTCAAATAAAGGAAATAAGAGAGGAATATACGACTCTAGCTGCATTACCCTTCTTTTCCGAATATCTGAATGTTTGTAAGTATGAATGACATATCTATAATACAGATACAACCACAACTCAATACATTGACATTGAATCGAAAAGGTCCTTGATAAACGATGCATCCTCTATTCAGGAAATGAGCACTTATATAGAAAATTTAAAATCGGACGTGGAAAATGCCAACGAAATAATTCAGTCGCTGCTCCCTCTTCGTGTGAGTCTCGAACAATCGACTCTTCGTAGTTTATGGAATTCAATTGTCAATAGACGTTCCTGAGATTCAAAGTCGCTTAGAACAGTTGGAGTCTCGGATGAGTCTCATAGAATTAAAGGTAACGCAATTTCATGAAGAAACGTGCGCTTTAGTGTCAAACTATGCGGACTTGGTAAGTGTTCAAAGAAGTGTGCGTTAGCTTTAGATAACTCGAATCAATGAATTAATATTAAATTCCAAAACATCTTTGAGTGTTTGTATCCAATAAGCAGTTTCTTAATTCTCAATCTTTTTTTCCACATTCCGAACCTATTCACACATATTTGTGTATTTTCCACATTCTTCGCAACTTTCTGCGACTCGTGGGAACTTTAACAAAATAGCAAAAAGAAAAATATCGGATGCGAGGTTCGAACTCGCGACCTCTCGCGTGTGAAGCGAGCGTGATAGCCACTACACCAACCCGACTCTTGCATAGGTTCTCAGAATGCTCTATTTCTTGACCCTTCTCTATAATGACCTTGGTGAAATGCAGCTAAACACTCTCTATTCCTTCCACTTCATTGCTTCAACAAACAAGCTACATTGACATTGGTTGTAGGGACGAAGATTCCTTGATGGACGCAACCTCGACCTTTCCTCTGGCACTGGGCTGCAATTCAACCTCAGGGAGTACATACGATTCCGACTCCTCGGTAGCTACCTGCACATGGTATGCGTAGGCCAGAGACCTTTCATTTGGAGCCCACAGATACTAAAGATGACCAGATTCACTTACAAATACCATAATAATACACACGATAAAGAGTTGGAGGAGAGTCCACACTCCATAGCTGAAGAACCAAGTCCATTTCCACATCTGCTCCAAAACCCCATTGTAGACCAAATAGCAGAAGAAAATATTATACACAGTGCAGAGAACGATCGCCACAATGAATAGACCTCGCAGACGGATGAAGACCTCCAGCTTGGAAGTCTGTTTCATTGCTTCGAGCTCGCGAATAGTTCCAAGCAACGAATGCAGAATGAAGTAATACACGCTGGCGTCCAACAAGGAGATAACCGCGATCTGGAACGACGAAGACTCCGTCGCGGACGAAAACGCGTTGGACAAGCCGTCCCAGAGAGAAACCCCGAAGTACACCAGTCCCAGAAACAGAATGGAAAGCGTGTCCGATCCCAACGTGGCTCGCGTGACGCCCAGCCTACGTCCCAGTCCTCTCGCGAGCCTACCCCAGCACCAACGCCAGCGCGATGCAGCGAGACAGAGCGCGCGTGAACGCCGAAGTGATGAGGGAGAGAACGGTGACGGACTGGCTGTACACTCCGTTCTCATTGAAGAGCGACAGGCTCCAGACCTGCCCGATGCAGTCGGCGATGAGAGTGATCAGCACTACGAAGATCAGCAGATGCACGCTCATCAGCTCTTTGCGGTAGGAGCAGCAGCGATAGATCCAGATGCAGAGCAACACGGAGAAGAAAACAGCCATGACTTTCATGAACGGAAGCAGACCGAACGTGGAACCGGGAAGATGGCCATAGGAACTCATCGCAGTGATATGGCCGGAGATGTGAGTATTGTGGACGGAGGGATCGCAGACACCCAGGATCACGAAATAAGTGTTATCTTTAGGGACAGGGAATAGGAGGCGAGCTTGCTGCTTTTCTCCCCTAGGAGGTATGGAAAGAGTCATATTCAAAATACGTAAAGACAAATCGCTTGTAGAAGAGATCTTTGCTCGGTTCTTGATTAATAATAAACTTGTTTGGATTGGAACACCGCTTATTTTCGTATGCCTTGGAATCACAGCATATAATCTGCTTTCCGTCTTCCATATAGCCGATGGAATTATACTTTTCAACTGACGCAATTAACATCTACTAGTAACGAGAAAGTGACACACAAACTTCCATTTCCGCGAAAGAATCCGTTTCTGAAATCTTTGACTGCATATCAATGTCAATTTCGATGTAGGCATTATTGCTCTTCTTCAATCTGTGAATAAATAGGAGAAACAGTTAATTACAGAGAAAGGGGAGAAGTATGATTTGCGATTACATACAAACTTTGTTCAATCAGAGTAGCATTTCCAATATCAAAAGGCTTTATAGGAATTATAACAGACAGAACAAAATGGGGAAGTAAGGTGACTATCTACCCAGTCAAAATGCCCTATTAACCCTTACAAAAAAGAAAAGGTAATTCATCACAAAATGAAAACAAGAATGACAGTTGTTATGCTATTCCCGCGGTATATTGTTACTCCTTCAGAAACTGATTCTCAAATAGAAGTGCGCAATAAGTACATTTCAGAAATGAAAAGAATCGAATGTATCAACAATCAAAAAATCTTTTACAGGGAAGCAAGAACGATTTATAATGGGCGACAGGGTAACGGAAAGTGAAGAAGAGACATCTTATAGTTATTCTTCGAATGAGGAAGAAGATTTGACTGAACTCTGTGCCTTTGTGAAATATAATAAAGAATATAAGAGAGAAGGGCCCGCACTGATTTATATTCCAGACAATTACATTTTGACAGAGTATAAAGATGGAAAGTGCGAGAAGGGATATATGTTGCATGGAGATAATGGCCTGAGTGAATTAAAATACGAAAATAATAAAATCACGAGCCGAACTGTCATTGAAGCCACACCTGGAAAACTTCATGATCCGACAGGCACTTATGAGTTTAATGGCTTTATTCAAAACGATTCCCCCATGGGATTCGGTATTTGCAAAGACATTGCCTCAAATCAGGTTATTTACCAAGGATACATGATTGGTTGGGAAAGGAGTATTGATGGAGTCAGTAAGAAGGATAACAAGAAGGTATTTAGTGGAAGTTGGTGTGCGAATAAACGGTGTGGGTATGGGATTGAGTACGACGAAAATGAGATGATTTCACGAGAGGGATACTGGTTTAATGACGAGTTTATCCAGTCCAATCTCTTTCTCGCCAACCCACTGAACTTATCGATGAGCAAATGGAAGGTGAACACTTCTTTGTGTTCGGAAGTATTAAATTTCTCGGGATTTCAGAAGGTGGAGGAGATTACTTTCAATAGTCGGAATTTCGAAACTACAGGCATTGTAAACATTACTGGCCTACAAAACCTCAAGAAAATCGAATTCGAAGCGAATGGCTTCTCCATGTTTGGCTACGCAAATCCCAAACGAAGTTTTTGTATTTCGGATTGTCCCTTGCTGGAGAGTATTCTTATTGGAAAGTATTGCTTCACGGACTTCACTCATTTTGAACTGAGCAAGCTGGATTCTCTTGAAGTTTTAAAAATTGGATCCATCGATTTCGATTCTTTTAACTTTTACGAGGCATCATTCAGCATTCAAAGTAGTTCTTGCTAGTCGATTGTAAGTAGACCTTCCAAAGCTTCGCATTCTTTACCTGGGAACTAACTCTTTCATTTATTCCGAGCACACTGTCTTCAAGAGTATTTTATTTGCTTTCAATCCTATCACATAGATTTGCCATCCTTGGAAGAGATTATCCTCGGAGAGTATGCTCTTCAAGGTCCGAATAGTGATGAATGTTCGCTCGAGATGTGCAGTACAGTCAGTGAATCGTTGTTTAGTGTGTGTAGATCTCCCTGTATTGAAAAGCTTGTCGTCTCCAGGCCACAGTTTTTGGAATGTGAAGACCGCATCTCTCAAAGGTTAGACGACTATACCATTTATTTAATGTGCTTAGATCTTCCTCATGAATGTGATATTCATCTTCCGGTTTCCTTCCGTCATCGTTTGAATATCGAATATTCAAGTATGTCTAGTTGGAATGGAGAGTGAAACTTAGATGTGGCCTTTCGACTTACTTAATATATAATCGGTATTCGTAGTATTTGTTCTATACATTCGTTCAATGGGGTAAGAATAGTGGCATCGTGTCTCTATTAACTAATTCTATCTATCATCCATTCAATACACAAGCAATCTAACCATAAAACGTGATTATGTTAATTCATTCAATCGGTCATTCATCCAATCATTCAATAGATAGTTCATTCATTCAATCATTCAATCGATAGTTCATTCATACATTCATTCAATCATCCATTCGATTCATTCGATTCATTCAACAAACACTCATTCATTTCTCATTCAGTCATTAACTCATTGAAAGCAATACATTTGCTCCATCTTACAGCTTCGTCAGCAGAATCGACTCCAGCTTTCTCGTATCTGCAGCAAAGCGGCGGATTCCATCACTCAGCAAATCAGTAGCCATCGTATCCTCTATGCCTCACACCGCCTCTCCTTCTCTACCATTCAGCATCCAGCGGAACGTGCTCTCATCCACCTCGAAGTACTCCTGATCCGAAGGACAGTTCTCCGCAGACAGAGGCTCATAAGGCAGCTACTTCTCACTTCTCTCCCCAAACCTCTCTACCTCCTCCTGCGACTCGCTGAGCTCCTGCAGCAACTTGGGAGCGATGGTGAGCTTATCGCAACCAGCCACGCCCAAGATTTCTTCCACCGAACGGAACGAAGCACCCATCACCACCGTCTTGATTCCGTTCTTTTTATAGTACGCGTAGATCTGGCGCACACTCTTCACACCGGGATCTTCCAGGGCGGGATAAGGCTCCTTGCGGCCCTCCTTCTTCATGTACCAGTCGCGAATGCGACCCACGAAGGGACTGATCAGCGTGGCCTTCACCTGAGCGGCAGCAACAGCCTGGCAGAAGGAGAACAGCAGAGTGAGGTTGCAGTGAATTCCTTCGGCTTCCAACACACGAGCAGCTTCAATACCCTCCCAGGTGGTAGCAAGCTATGCGTTAACACACTCAATCGCCCATACCTTAATCAAGATACGATCCTTGCTGATTCCTTCCTCCTCGTACATCTTAATTAACGTGCGAGCCTTAGCAATCATCTTCTGAGTATCGAAGCTGAGGCGAGCATCCACTTCGGTCGAAACGAGACCAGGGACAATTTCAAGAATTGCCTTTCCAAAGAGAACACTCAGCTTGTCAATAAGAACTTCCATCAGCAGCTTCTTATCCTCACCAGCATGCTCCTACTCATTAGGGTGATCTATTCGACTCTTACTCTAGCGTATTTGATGGCAGCATCCACGATGTGAGAATACTCAGGCTTGGTGGCAGCGGCAAGACTACAAGGTCATCAGCTCAAAAAGGAAATTACATAAGACTGGGATTGGTGGTAGCATCCACAGGCTTATAAGCGCGAATAGACTCAAAGTCTCCAGTATCGGCGACAACTTTAGTAAAAGCAGAAATTTTATCAAGGCGAGAAGACATTCTTAGTTTTTTTTGGGTAAGAGATCGAATAGTGGTTTTGCAATCAATTGAGATCAAAACCCCGTTCAATCTTCTCCTTTCTCTAGATTATCCAAAATGGAAGATATTTTTGACAACATTTTAAATTCGAAAGAATCTACCGATCGCAAACGAAAAACCGAGGATTTGGTGGATTCGGAAGATACCAAACGAACTCACGTAAATGAGGAGTAATCTATGTGCATTGAGATGAATACGTGTAGAGATGAGGATATTGACTTCGATGACATTGATCTGGATGAAATCACTCCCGAAGAGATTGAGAAAATGCTTCAAGAGGCAGATAAGATTGAGGTACATTCTTTGATTGCGTCGTTAACGACAAGACAACCCGCCTCGATATTAGTGGAATTAAACAAATAATTTTGGAACTAGAAAAGATCATTAACGAAAACCAAAAGATGAGAATGAAATATGCGACTGATCCTTTGAAGTTGGTATTTCCGAGATTTTGAATGTAGATTTGAGGACAGCGAATATGCCCTTCACGAGCAAATTAAAAAGTGCAGTGTTTTTGCCACAGAATCAAAGGTGTATCCAACTTTGGTGAAACTGGACTTTATCGGCACTCTATCTTATCTGCTCGTCCACGATAACATCGTGATATCTACAGACGTCATCAAACTGCTGTATTCTTTTCTCTCTTCCTATTTCCTCCAAGAGACGACCTAACAGACGACGAAACCATCCTAATGGACACAACAGGTGAGGCCGTGAGTCTGATCGACACAGTGGTAGTTGTTGCTCTCTCCTGTTCCCTAGATCTCCAAAAACCTTCCCCAAGTGCTTGTCAGCAATCTCTCGCGTCTTCAGGACGATTCTTCCATCCACGAAGAAGGATTCGATGCTACTCTCAACGTCCTCGACCATCTCATCGAAATTCATCCAGAGTTCTTTCCCCTCTTCTCTCCTCTTAATTCTTAGCGTGCTTGAAACGCTCTGGACGACCGATCTTCTCAAGGTGCTTCTCCACCAACTCGAGAAATCGACAGCTTCGGATCTTTCTCTCCACTGTTCCGAGCTGCTGTTCTCTCTGATTTCGTATAAAGACAAGGTGGACTCGATCGCCTCGAAGCCCGTTTTATCTCCTTCTCTCATTGAAAGCGTAGGATTGGATCGAGTCGTTCGTCGTTTTGCTGTCGCAGTGGCGATCGCACGACCCCGAATCGCTGAATGAAAGCGAGATTCTCGAGAATCTTTTCAACATTCTCTGCCTTCTTTTGGTGGTTCCACGACCGCTTTCTAATCGTTTAGCAGTCGCCTCCGGTTCGTCCCATTCTTCGCGAAAAGGAAATCTTAGCGTTGCTGCTGATTCCGATTCGAAAACATTACTATGCGCGCGTTCCAGCGTTTAAAGTATCGGAAAAGGAGAATGCTGTTTGATATAGGCGATCGATTATCTGCTTGGATTCGGCGAACCGGGAGACGCCGAGGCGTTTATCGAAAAGAAAGGATTGAAATACGTGTTTCCTGCCCTCCTGGGAAAAGTAGCGCGATTCGGAATGGAGCCAATGAATAGAATAATGGCAATGCGTTGAAGAAATGGAGCCCGTCGGATAAACTCGATTTCGAGAATCATGTTTTGGGAATCATTAACAGCTTGCTCAAACTCGATCATGTTCGAACCCTTCTCACGATTTGGCCTCACACTCTAGGACTCGATTTCCTTCAAACGAGTGATGAAGAAATTCCATGATGACCAGTATGAACGATGTGATTGCATTCTCGAAATCGGGTCTCGCTTCTTGAAACAAGTAATGTCTTGAAATCGAAATTGAAGGCCAGAATGAAAAGTTGGAGCAATTGATCGCAAGCCATGCGTTGGACGTTTCTCCAGAGGAGCAGGAGGAAGTAGAATTGGGAAGACGATAGGATGTAGGGAATAACGATGGAGGAGAAAATTGCCGAAAAGAAAATCGAGCTGGGTCTTCATGTATTCGATGTGAGAGTGAGGAATCAATTTGAGCTGTAGACCGTTCTGTCGATTTTGAAGGTTCTGATTCAAGATGAGCCCTGTAACTGGCATATTCAACGAAAGATATATGAGCAGGGATGGAAATTCCCAATTGAGTTTTGTTTTGTTTGTTCACATACAGCACTTGGAGAGGCAAATTGAATAAGAGCAATCATACCATCTAAAACCCCAAACTGCCAAAGATCGAATTCCACTTTTTTCCACTTTATGCAAACAGCTTTCTGGAAATAAAGGGTATGAATCGAACCTAAAGTACCAGAAACACAAAAAGCAATAGAAATCAAATGAATGAATTGAAAGAAACAAGGCTACTCATGATAGCGTATCGATATTGTGAAATCTGTATATCTCTCTGATCAATGCAAACAATGAGACAAAAATTGGAGCTAGCTGTTTGGATATTAGCGATAGTTTCGAAAAAAGCTTTAATGTATTATGCTGGCACAATGATACATTATGACTGCTGACCCAAAGGTGAAAAAGCAGTGGGTATCCAAAATTAGATACCCTGGCTCAATGACCGTGTACGGCTCAGAATAGAACATCAAGGGCAAAATAACATAAAGATAAGGGAGCTCGTCTTATTCTCTGGATCTATTTAGGAGTTTAAAAGAAAAAAGAGAAAAACGGAATTCTTTACTATGCACCACTTTCTCATGCTAAAGGGATATGGTTCCATCTCTCGAATCGCCAAAGGATAAAAAAAACATCAAGAAGAAAACAAAGTGATTTAAAACGAATACGGACACAACACAATTAAAGGTGCCCTAAAGGATTCGAAAAGACCCATTATTATAAATATAGTTGATTTAATTGGAACAAGATCTTCCAAAAAGAATTGTTCCTTGGACTACGGCTTAACTTTTCGAACAAATCATGCTACCAAAGTAATTCACGCACGGTTACAAGATTATGTATAGGAAAAAAAAGAACAGCATTGTTAGAGTTTTAGAAAACAAGGGTGATCTTGGTATCTTTCTCTCAGTGAATAGGCAAGTGGACAGAAAGCGAACACAAGGAATTTCTGAAGGGACTATCTCTCTATGGAAAAAACTGGAAGCGAATACACCAACTTGTAAGTCCTCATCGTCACGCAGGTGACTAGGTATAGGTACCATCTCGAACCCTCCTACAGATCCGTACCCATGCACAGAAATATCTTTCCAAAAAGGAGAGACTAAGTAAAGAGCAGGGTGTCAAGCAGGAAGAAGCTCCGAAACAAGAACCTTCCTCGCCATCTCCCAAATCTGAAGAAAACAAGGATAAATCAGAGGATGCACTGTCTGTTTGCAATGACAGTGACGATCTACTGATCCCCCAACCGATTTTACTTGATTAGAGACTGCATGAACAGCACTCTCGTTTTAGCTAGCTACTTTGCATCCTTCTATGAAGTGTACTTGCATGCCAGTGTTTGTTTCACAAACAAAACTCTCCAAACTCGCTACAACCCAGCAATTAGTTCTTCTTCTCTCTCATCTCCTTCTCCTCGATGATGCTGAGCTTCACTCCGTTGCCCTTAGGCAGAGACACCATGGGCTGGTTGCCCTCGCCGATGATGAACACGTTGCTCAGACGGGTGGCGAACTCGTGACCCGCCGCATCGCGAACGTGCACAATATCGAAGGATCCGAAGTGTCTGTCACGATGGACGATCACTCCCACACGACCAATGTTGTGTCCCTTCGTGATGAAGCACAGGTTGCCCACCTCGAACTTCACATGGCCGATCACCTTGTTCGTCTTCAGATCCACCTTCACGGTGTCGTTCACCTTCACGGTGGGGTCAGGGAAGCGGATCGTGCGAGCATCGTGAGTCACGATGAACGGGATCTTCTTGCTCGACAGCTGGCGCTTCACAACCTTGCACAGCTTGTACTGAGCCTCGTTCTCGTCGATGCGGTGAAGGACGAAGCGGCCCTTCACGTCGTACAACAGACGGAAACGGTCGGAAGAACCCTCCAGAGTCACCACATCTGAAACTAAGATTCGATTCTTTGCTAATTACCCATGAAACCGGCGGGGAAGGTAGAGTCCGTGCGGATCTTGCCGTCCACCTTGACCAGACGCTGCATGCAGATCATCTTGACCTCGTGATTGGTCAGAGCGTACTTCAGACGGTTGCGGATGATCAACAGCAGAGGAAGGCACTCTCTCTGCTTGTGGGGACCACAGCTAGGCTTAGGAGCCCACACTCCTCCCATCTTGTTAAGCATCCAGTGCTTGGGTGCGTTTAAACGCTTCAAATGCTTCTTAGGACCGCGAGTCTACAATTCGTGTTAATCAAACGAGTTCAAACCGAAGCTCACGCTCACAGACTGCACTCCCCTTGAGTGTATTTACCTACCATTTTGGAGAGCTAATTCAATTAAGAATTAAGAATTGAGAAAAGAACCACAAAATATAGACATGGAATAGCCACTTGTAATTTACCCCCACAATAGGAGTTTCATAATCGGATTCTTTGTATTTTCCAGCTATCTACACTCTAGTTATTCGGATTTCTGTTCGGCGATGATTCAGTTCTTTGTGATCTTCAATAAATTAGGACAAACACGATTTGCTCACTACTTCACTTTCCAAAACGCGAAAGAAAGAGCTACTCTTGAAGGAGAAGTGACGAGAATGTATATGGGAAGAAGAGATGACCAGGTATTTGTGTCGCTAAGATGTGATCGGTAGTGCAACGTATTCGAGCATAGAAGCTACCGATGCGTGTATAAACAAGTAGGAAATCTGATTTACTTGCTCGCTACTGATTTGGAAGAAAAAGAAGTAAGAGAATCGATTTTGTGAAACGGTATAGAATGTGCTTTCACTCCTTTCATTTATCGACGCCTTTGTTGAGACCTTGGAGTTGTATTTCACCAAACTGGTATGTACAGAATTTGAGATTGACATATAGACGGAGTTAGACATATCCATAACAGATCAATATAGATATCCTTAACCATAGGTGATGATGAATCTAGAAAAGGTACATTATATTATGGATGAAATGGTAATGAATGGGACTGTGTATGAGACAAACAAGAACACTATTATTCATCAGTTGGCGTTGATGAAGATCAACCCCGTGAAGGATAAGGAGAAGTAAAGAATGATGTGTACAATAGAATTGCTTGTTTGTTTGAAATAACTCAGAACAGTTTTTTCATGAGACAAGAAACTTTCTGGCTAGCTACTATTTGCTTACTACCATCGATTCTACTTGCTTTCAACATTCCCAATGTGTCGGTACAGGTAATCTATGAACTTGACGAGTAGATGGTCTCCACTTTAGTAATTGCATTTACACTGTCAATAGGTACATATTTCATTGCTCATACAATGATTCCTGTGTTTATGCCTTTGACGGAAAAGGGCACATGTCTTACTGGCCGTAAACTGGGAAAGAA